TGTTATGTTGTTAACAAACTGACTTATTTATGGATATTTTTAAAATTTTCAACTTAATATTAACAAATTAATCTCTTAGTGTGGTGTCTCTATCTTTTAGGAAGTGAATTATTACACAGAGGAAAGCAATAGGATATACCAATAAAAAAAAGTAATAGTATGATGAAATTTTGAAGATATTTTTGTTAATTTTTTTAATAATAGTTTACACAAGTGTATTAAGAATGGTTCCATGACAAAACAGCGCAAAGAAAAACTATCGCAAGGACAAAATAGCGCAAGGACCAAATAGCGCAGCACATAAAAGCGCGAGTTAAAATATTCCAGTATTCTAATTAAAATTAAAACAAAGTGCTATTGCTTTAAAAAAATTGTCAAAAAATAAAAAAACTCGTAAATGACTTACCTAACATCTACGGCCTGGAGCCATATGCAGTAACCCGCCTTGGCTCCAGGCCGCACAGGTTAGTTAAATTAGTTTTTGTTTAATTTTAATTATAATACTGACATATTTTGTCACGCATTAATTTGTTTCACTATTTTTAAAAAACGCTAACTTTACTCACTATAATTAGACTAGGTGTTAATTGGTCTCACTTTATTTATATCAGGCCTAACTTGTCTTTCATGTATTTGTATAGATGCAAATTTGTCGCAGCAAATTTGTCCTACGTGAAAATGTGTCGGATTCTAAAATGAGAAAGAAACAATTCAAACATTCTCTACATAGGCGCCGTTGAAACAGAATTTGTTTCGCATTATTTCGCTAATTTTATTAATTAAAAAACATTTTGTTCGTTACGTGCTTTTCTTTTTGCGTCATTTTGTCTTGCGCTTTTTTGTCCTGCGCTATTTTGTCATTGCACTATTTTGTCCTTGCGCGATTTTGTACTGCGCTATTTTGTCCTGCGCTCTTTTATTCTTGCGCCATTTTGTCTGCGCTATTTTGTCCTGCGCCATTTTGTCCTGCACTGTTTTATCATGGAGCACTAAGAATATAACTTATATTATCTGTACTTAAATAAATTGGAAGCCATTTATAACAAACTACTTGCCTATAATTTGTATTATCTGGAAGCATTATATCATTCATTCACTTTTTAATTGAAATGCATCTCGTAAACCGTTGGTAATACAAAGTTGGTTAAATGGGAAAAAAGTTGTGTACTTCGAAGCCCAATCTGAAAATATAAGCGCCGATTTCCGAGAAATAGATAAAAAACAAATCAGCTCATTTGAAGTCTTTTGTTTCATATTAAGTTGTGCATATAATAGCATATTCAAATTTTTAATTGAAGTTTCGTAAATGCAGGACTACAATCAACTTCTTTATCTACTTAACACAAGTTCAAAGAGAACAAAGTAAAATTTTAAGATATTATTTAGAAAACAACGATCACTGTTACATCAAAGGAGAAGAAATATTCATAAACCAAAAATCATACACAGTTGAGGATCTATTGGAATTAGAAGAGCAGCAAAATCAAAATATGTACGTGTAAATAATAGTGCACCATCTACTCCCATAATCACAAACTCGCCTAAAAATCTGGAAAATGAAATTACCACAAGTGGGCATGGAAATGAAGTCAAAAACCAGAAACAGTAATGACAAAATTAGTTACGCAAACTCAAGTAAATACAAAGACGTGCAAAAAACTGCTAACATAAAACTGATCGAAAATTAAAAAATTAAGTTTGCGCTGCCTTTTCAAAATACTTATAAATGACAAGTCAAAACAATATTTGATTACACTCGCGTTGTCTAGGATTTGTTATTATTTAGTTGTTATGTTGCCTCAAAGATACGACTTAGTGCAAACGTGAAATCAATTGTGAATTTCTGTGTGAATTGTTAATTTATTTTTCGATACGGTGTCTCTTTTACATACAAATTGGTTCCTCATTTAAAATGGATGGCAACATGCAGGTATGTATTTTAAAATAATATATTATTTTTCTATGTACTTTAAAATAATATATTATTTTTTAAGAAAGGATCTTTAATTTTGATGGGTTCAAAAATCATGTAAAAAAAGTTTGACTATTATAGAGTTTTAGTTAAAACTATTTTTTCGAATTCAAAGTTTCCATATATTTATTACTGAGAAAACATCAAGTTTTAAAGTAGTAAAAAACTTGTTGCTACTTTTTTAATAAAATAGAAAAAACTGCTTCGGTGCCTTTGAAAAATTTACAAACCAGTCAAAATGTTTATTCTATAGGGTGTTTCTAAGAGATCTGTATAAAATTCAACCACACATTTCTGTAGCTAAAACATGTCAACCTATCGCAATTTACCTGTCTAAAAGTTAATAGTTTGCCAGTGTTGACTATTATTATTTACTTTTTTTGGCAGTATTCTTTCTAAAGTAGCTGAGACCTTTACAGAAACTAAGTGTTTGATAGATCTAGTTAAATTGGGAAAAAAAGTGTTGAAAAATTATTCGTTCCCGACACCCTGTATGTCAAGATACGATTCATTTTTCTGTACATCTTTATACCAAAAAAGTTGTTTCTTTTGACGGGATCTATCACAAATTCAGTTTTTTTTAGTTTCGGTAACTTTATCTGTATCCCAAGGGAATCCATGACGTGCATTGCAAACATTTGCAAATTTCTCCAAAACGGTTACATCTACCGTTATTGAGAAAGTCTACTTTTTTGTCAAGAAAAGGTAACTCTGATATTTTGGTTACTATTAAAAACGTAAAAAAGGAATAAACTCTATCATATAAATTTTGTGGTGCCAAGTTCAGTGGCGTCCTTATTTTTTTTTGGGTACCGTTTCTAAGATTTAACCCAAACTTATGCATTTTAAATGGAACACTCTGTATTTTATTTGCTTAATACATTTCTCTGTTTTGTGTAGAAACTGGTAAAATATTAGCAATTAAAATTAAAGTGGATAACCAGTGCCGGTTTAAGGTACTATTGCGCCCGGTGCTACTTGTAATCGCCGCCCTATCTATTCATAATTTATGCATCTTAGATTACTGAATTTATATATTATTAAAAAAAAACAAAATTACAAAATTCAAAAGAAAAATATTTATAATAATAAACCATAATTATTATAATGGTCAGAAACAGCAATAAAACTAGTACGCAAATAATAAAATAAAACAAACAAAAATAATAAAATACTGTTTCGGTGTTAAAACCTTTAGCTGGTTCTAACTATGAACTCTAATATTTTGTGGACTGTATTAAATATAAATTATAAGTTATTTTTCTATTTTAATCTTTATTTCAAACTTCACTTGACATTGGATTTTTCAATCTACGATGACGGTTTCTAACAACATTTTTTCGCCTACTTATAAAATTACATTTTATATAAATTTCAATGGCGTAACAAAAATACTAAACAAATACAAACAAAAATGACAAAAATAAGATTAATAAGATAAATAAGATTAAAGAAAAATGGAATGAAAACAAAATACCAGTCTAAAACATAAGTTGCCATTCTTGTTTTCTACAATATTATCTTAATAAGTACTATCACTAATACATTAAGGAACTGTTGAAACTAAGTAAAAATAAACTATAAAAATAATAAACAAATAACGAAAAATAATATTGCTAATGCCCATATTCTAAAATATTGACATGTTATGTTTAATACAAAATTTTGACAAACATCCAATTGACACATTTCACGATGCGCACTTTATTAGCTACCACGCAGATAGAAAGGTTGGGCGTCTCGTCGAAATGAACCTACTCACGAAGATTCATAAAAATGGGTGGAGTACTGTGGATTAACATGTTAGAATGTAAGTATAAAAATACAACAGGGGAGTTTTATTTACTTTTACGAAAGTCGCTTTTTCGCTTTTAAATTTGAAAAAGTTTGAATTATTTTGTTAGTATCTAATGTTTTTAAAACATCTGAATTTATTGATAATAATGCTAAAGAATTCAACTATTCTTGTGCAATTGAATTGCGAAGATACGTTTTCACCCGTTTTAGAGTGGAAAATGTACGATCCCCACTGACATTCGTTATCATTTTGAAAAAAAAAAAAAAAAATTCGGAGGCATACATTTAAATTTGGAAATGAAGACGTAAGTTTATTTTTATGTAAAATTTTACTAAATCTTGGGGAGATTCAACTTTAATTTCATCGTTTAGTTCATTTAGGAATTTTTTGAAATTAATGCATTCTTGAGGAAAATGCTCGTCTAGGTCTTCCATATATGTCTCTTTTAATTTTTGTGCATTTAATACTATAGCTTCGTCACTTAATTTTTGTTTAATTAAACAAAAATTCGAAAAGAGCTAAACATGTTTTGTACACTTCGGATCTATGAATAATTTCTGTTCGAAGATTGTCAAGGATTGGATGGTAAATCTGCAATCTCATTTTCTCTCTAGGATCCAAAATAACTTCTGTATTTGGTTCCCCAAAAAGCCTCTTTCTTTTAGTGCTTCGCCGTTCTGTGTATTTTTCGTTGCCAGTTAAAGCTATTCCTTTGGCTTCATATTGATCAAACTCGTTTCTTAAATATTGAAAGTATTGGGCCAATGAAGATAAAAGGTTAAATGTGATACTTATATACATAAATATTCTCTTGTTGTAAAGCCTTATTTACATCATTAGTTCGGTGTAAAATATCCAACCAAAATGTTAAAAGAATGCCTTTTCCATAAGATCTAATTTCTCGGCAAAAGAAGCCGCTTCAACTCTCACAACACTTTTTTCTTCTCTATTTTAAGATATTTGCTCTAAACATCTTTTTATTGATGCGTAACTGTGTCCTAGGGCTTTAGTGGCATCAAATCGTGATGACCATCACGTAGTGTTAACTCTCTTAAGTAAAAGTTTTTCGTTTTCTGAAACTTTTATAAACTGAGATAACAAGTTCCATTTGTATGAAGATGCCGTAAAAAAGGTGTAAATTTCTTGTACCATCATAAAGAACGCCGTAGATTCCAAACAGCAGTCTGCTGCATTTTGCACAACTAAATTTAACGAATGTGCTAAATTGTTTCATGCCTTAATACGAGCCTGTAACTCAGAGTATTTTCCGCTCATGTTGCTCGCATTATCGTATGATTGGCCCCTACAGTCTTTTAAAGGTATTTCCATTGATTTCAAAATATTCAGGAAGGTATCTTCGAGTTCTTTCGCACCATGTCTAACGTTTTCTTGAAACCCCACAAACTGCTCAACTAGTAATCCATTACTATCACAAAATCGCAAAGCTGGTCGTGGTGGGTTATATCTGGCGTAGAATCCACGCTTACTGAATAATACTTATAACTTTAATTTGTTTCACTATTTTCTTTAAAACCTCATTTGATAAAATCCCCATAAACTCATCGCAAATATCTTTTGATAAATAAGAAACAGTACCCTTTCCACGTATAATCTTTTAAAAAATGATCATATTCAGACAAAAGTTCAATCGCACACAAATAATTGGCGTTATGATCTTCGCCTATCTTTTCATTACTACCTCTTAATGCTAACTCTCAAGTTGCTAGAAATTTTTAAAACGTTAACAATTCTTTTTAATACGTTAATCCAATACTCCTTTGCTACGTTATATTCTTTTTCAAGTTTATTATTAATTCATTCTGTAGTAATGTTCATCAAACCTTTCTTTATGCCTATTCCAGGATGCAAAACCTCTTTTAAACTGGTTGACTGACCACCAAATAACATACAATAAAGGCAGTACACATTACCTGTGCTTTCAGAATATATTTCGACGTAAAACTCCATTCTCTAACTTTCTGTAGAACATTTGTTTATTTGCCCACCTGTTTTGTCCTTTAAATGGCCTCTTGGATTTGGAAAAATTACTTTGTTCCAAATTCTGACCTTTCCAAGACTCTAGAATTATTTCAATATCTCGACCAGTGTTCCATAGGGCTGGATCTTTAAAATCTGGTAAAATTATTTCTTACTAGTGCTCTGCCTGCGCACCGCCCTATTACGATTTGCCGCCCGGTACTAAAGTCCCAAATAGCACCCATGTAAAACTGGCACTGTGGATAACGACTATAAATATAAAATTTGTATTTTTACCAACTGACATTAATAGGGTTAAAAAAGAAATACTAAACTTGTCAGATAAAAAATCAACCGGTACGGATAAAATACAGAGTAAAACAATAAAAAGTATTGCTAATTATATCCTAGAACCGTTTTACCTATGTACTAACCGATGTGTGGAGGAAGGTACATATCCAATTATTTTAACAAAAAAGTTTAATAGTTCCTTTATACAAAACTGGGGATGACACAAATGTTGGTAGTTATCAACCTATTTCATTTATTTCTTTTATGTCTAAAGTATTTATGTATAAAAATACCATATATTTTCAAAAAATCAATTTAGTTTTAACCCTAGAGCGGTATGTACGTAAAATTTACGTGTGGTTTGTAGCAAAAGGGCCCTCTCCACTAATTCTTTTGAGTCACGATCTTGAGCTTTCAGCAGTGCCTCAGGAAACATCCACTTGTGAAGATTTCTAGGTGTCAGAGTTGCAACTTTAGCAAAAGTAGATATTGGTTGATGTTGAAAAGTATACACGTAAGAAATACGCATCGATACCAATAAGCTATTATTTGTTGTACGTTTATCTGACGTGTCGCAAGCTTAAAATTTTAGGCTTCGCTTATTTCTTAACGACTGTCGCTGCAAATGGCCCTATGTATCTATTACAATATGATAAACATGGCTTGCATGAATTCATACATAATTTAGTCACACAATGTTGAAGCATTAGGTGGTAAAACTTTAACACGTTTTGAGTACTTCACAAAAGTCATATTAAACCATGGCAATCACAGTGCAATAGATATTAAAGGGGAGGGGATCAAAAAGGGAGCTTTGCCACCTTTGTCCTACATTAAAGGAAATAATGGTAACTACGTACTGCGTAAAATGTACCAAAACAGTATGTAGGACATACCAAATAAAAATATGCACGTGTTTTAAAAAAATCAAATGAAAAATGTTTTCTTTATTTTTAAATTCAGTTACTGTAATTTTTTCATTTTAAAATATTGTTTTGTTATTAGAATATGTTAAAAACACTATTTTATGTTCCGACAAAAAAAACTAATGAAGCAGGTAATTATACAAAGTGTACATGTAAAAATTTGCGAATGCGTAAATTTTACGTGTTCATACCAACAAGCGGTAGAAATTAAACGATACCGTTCTAGGGTTAAGGAAAATACTTCTATATAAGACAATGTACTAGCATTGACATCGACAATAAAATTCCCTTAATGAAAGTAAACCATGCCTGTGTGTAATTATAGACCTGTCCAAGGCCTTCGATACTGTGAGTCATCAACTACTGTTACAATCACTAAATAATATCGGCATTAGAAATAATGTACTAAATCTCTTTAAATATTACTTAAGTAATATTAACTCAGTTTGTAAAAGTTGATAATGTACTCAGCAGAGAAAGAGTCTTGGAATATGGAGTGCCACAGGGGTCTGTGTTGGGACCAACCTTATTTAATTTATACGTTAATGATCTTTTTTCTATAAAGTGCAATGGAAAAATTATTGGTTTTGCAGATGATACTGCCATTTTCTTTAAAGCTGACAATTGGTATAACCTGAAAGCAAAAACTGAAAAGAATTTTAGTTTAATAAAAGGCTCAATTTTAAATTACTAAATGTTATTAAGCGAAAAACCCACTATAGTCTGTTCGCTATACTTACGCGGGTTTCATATTTACAAAATTATGCAAATTAGTCATTGACAACCAGTTCCAATAAGCCTCCTCCCAAGAAATTAGGTAAAATTGCCCTAATGGTCAGATTTAAATTAAAATAATATTAGGGTAGGTACTAAATTTGTTACAAATAATTAATTAATTAATCCGCAACCCGCGTAAGTATAGCGAACAGACTGTACTTGCCCTTTAGCTACATAGCATCTGAATTACCTAATTTTAAAATTGATGTGGACAGTCAACATGAGTCGTTTTTGACCTGTAAAACAAATTACCTAATTTTTTAGGAATTATTATCGACTCTCAACTCTAAAGTGGAACTTACATATAGAACACATTACTTATCATTAATGGAAAGCCATCTTCGTTAGAGTATATGCGCCTGGGCTGGAGCTTTAAAAATTCACCTTACGTTATTATAAGTAGTGCAAAAAAGGGATTTAAAAATTATTTACAAAAAAGAATGGATGTATTATACAGAAGTATTTTTAACTATTAGAAAATTAATTTTTAATTAAATTGCTGTACTTTATTTCACAATAAAAAAATATGAGGCTTTGCTTCCAATTCACTCCTATTCTACCCGCCAAAATCATTTTTATATTCCTCCTACGATGCTAAAAACATGCACGCAAATATCATATGGATTATGTCCTTAAAATTATATAACTCCCTACCTAACGAATTAAAAATAATTAATAACAAAAAGTTATTTATAAAAAAAAAAGGTAAAGAATATTTGCGTAGGAAACCACTGAATATGGTGGATATTCCTTTTGAAAGGTGATAATACCATATTAGTTTAATTAACAGCTGTAATGTCACTTCTATTTTTTATGTGCTATGTTGATAATATATTGTATTATTTTTTTAATAATTAATTAATTTTAATTTCATAGAAACTTTTTTGCGATTGGAAATATTATGTTATTTAATTCTTTTCATTTTTTATGAAATATTCAACTTGTGTGTTAGACAATAACTAACTAGTTTTATTCATATTACTCTTAGTTTTATTGGTATATATATTTTTGTTTTTTATTAGACAAAACAAGTATTCATGTACTTATCGGCCTTATCTCTTTATTCGATAAATTGTTTATATTGATATTGATGTATTTATTATACAATGTATGTTTTGCTATTTTATGAGAATAAAGTTATTATTATTATTACTTATGAACTAGTGTTATTCCGATAGATCATTTTAATGTATGTTCATTTCTGAATACTTTATTTATTACAATATTTTTAATTACAGTAATATTACAAAAATTAGGAATCAACATAAATGCTTTTTCTTTTGTATATATACAATACTATACATAAATAAACTTAAATGTAAGTAAATAAGAATTTAAACAAACAGGTGCATTCTGTAAAATAAAACTCACATTAGAAAAAAGGATGCATCTGTTTCCGTATTTAATAATTACTGAGCAAATTACTTTGACAGAAAACTACTTCCAGTAGATGTAACAAAACAATTAAGAGTATCTATATCATCTTCATATGTTAATTCTATGTGCTTGCTTATAAATCTGTTAGTAGAACTGCTTTATTAAATTTTAGAGTTTGAAATAATGTTAACAAATTACGAACTACTTTAAAAATGAATAATTATATCTTTATTGATTTATTGAATATTTTATACTTCAGAGAATAAAAAAAGAAGACGCTATGGGAAAGAGAGTAGGCGTAGTATCGGACTCATTATTCATACAACTGCTCTGCAGGCATCAAATATATTATAGATCTTAAAGATTGATATAATTAAGCAATGATTGGCGTTTTACTGCAATCATTGAACAAGCATTTATTTTTTGTTAGGGTTAAAGTTCGCATTGGTATTTTATGTCTATTTACTACTGTGATTGGAATATTTATAATAATTTTTAATACATTTCAAATTATAATTACATACATAGTTTATTTACAATTATGTTACCCAAAAAAAAAAAAAAAAAAATATTAGACTTTCCTGCAATTTATTAATTTGTTTTTCATATTCACACTTTTCTCTTAATTTTTTTTTTTAACTGTAAACTCACTTTTTATTAGCAGCGTTGGTTTGGTCTGTATTCCTTCTCCCACACTAGCCTAGCATTAGAGTTCCTCCATTAGGAATATAAAGAAATGCTCTTTTGATCAGTGCTACTAGCATGGGTTTTCTTTGTAATTTCAAACAAATGGTAAACATAACCCTAATTTATTGGAACTTTTCAGAGGATTTAAGTCTATATACAGTGTGTTAATGCAAAATAAAGATGAGACGCTTGATTATATTTGTACGTGAGAAAGATAAAGAGAACACGTGATGTTATATTGGGGTTTATCTCTTGTGTCATAAAATTTTTGCTTTCATTCATTTTCAAATAAACTATAATATAAAAGAAAGTAAAATAAGGAAGAAATTTATTCTAGTACAATAATTAGATTGTCGTCTTTTCTACACAAGGGTGATTTTAAGAGTAATTGAGGAAGGTGAGATTAGAATTTGTGTTTGCGCTGACGAGTATTGGAATATGATTGATACAT